TTTTGATAAGTAATAAACTTTAAACTTGTTAGCAAGTAGCATATAAGAACTACTTCTAAATAACAAGTACTATCTTTACAGTAAGTAATAAGCTTTAAACCTATTTTTAGATAGTATATAAAAACTATTTCTAAATAATAAATGGTTTTTGTTAGTCTTATATTCTTCTTCTCTAACATAGTTTTACTATTTTTGTTGAAAATTTAGATTTGAAAAGTTGGTCCAAGAGATCATCAAAAAGAGTTCATAAAAATTTTTTTATTAATATATATTTTTATTAGATATATAGCAAAAATTTAGAGTATTAATATATTAATCTAATTTAATAAGTCTAACATTACCCAAATATTCTAAAAATACCAAGTACAACTTGCTATACTAATTTATCTAAATAACAAACTAGAAGGTTATGTCAAAAAGTCTAAGTATTCTTTCTTTTAAATTCTTTTTTCTTCTTATAAAGCTAAATGAAGAAAAAAATATATAAATAGACTATAATTATTTGCTAGGAAAGTATAAAAGAGAAAAAAAAAAAATAGTGAAGAGATCTAAATAGAATAACAAGAAGACGAAGTAAAAAAAGAAAAAGAAAAAACAAAAAGAAAGAAAAAAAGGCTACTCTAACTGATCTAATCCTAATTAAAAGAAAGAGTGAACTTTAAAAAAACACTTTTATAGTCTGTGAAAGGCTTGAAAAAATTATATAACAAATACAATATCTATATATCTCTACTGTAAAGCTTTGCCTTAATATATAAATTTCTTTCTAATTATATGACTATTTTCTGATATTTTTTTAACTAGGGCCTAGATTTATGAAGTAACACCATGTCTAATAGTAAACAAAACATGTGTTGCAATCTACTAGATTGTCTGAATTTGAAAGGAGTAAACAATACTGATTTTTTGACAGGATAAGCTGTTTTGCCTACTTTTTATGAAAATTTTGAAGAAAGAGCAAGTAGGTAATAGTATAGAAAATAGCTTTTATATTCTTGTTTAAAGAATGTATATTTTTTTTTGAAAGTAGTAAAATGTATAAAGCCAAGTAAACTGCTGTTTTTCTTGTTGGTAGGTGATAAACTCTGAACTTGTTAGCAAGTATAAAAACTATTTTTAATAACAAATGCTATCTCCACAGTGAGTGATAAGCTCTAAGCCTATTAGCAGATAGTGTATGAGAACTATTTTTAAATAACAGATACCAGTTTATAGTTTTGATCAGCCTTATGTTTTTTCTTTTTTGCTATAGTTTACTGTTTTTTAGAAAAAAAGTTTATTGTTTTTTTTGGTACAAAGGATTGTCAAAAAGAGTTGAATCAATTTTTTTATTTTAAAGTCTTTTGGTATTTTACAAATTATTTTTTTTATTTTCTTTTAGCTTTTTGACATTTTACTAGTGAACTTGTAGTTTTTAGCATTTTTGATAAACAATTTCTTATTTTTTTGACTTTCAGTATTTACAGATAAATTTTCTTGTAATTTTTCTCTAGTTTTTTGGTATTTTATAATGAATTTTCTTGAGAACTTCTGGTTTTTTGATGAATTTATAGTAATTTCTTTTGTGATTTTCTCTAGTCTTTAACAAATTTATAGTAGTAGATTTTCTTGTAGCTTTCCTCTAGTCCTTCAATATTTTATAGTAAACTTGTAGTGAATTTTCTTGTAAACTTTTCTCTAGTCTTTGGCAAATTTGGAATGAATTTTCTTGTGACTATTCTCTGGTCTTTGACAAATTTATAATATATTTCACTAGTAAATTTTTTTGTAGTCTTTAGATTCAAAAAAAAAACTACAATAAGGTTTTTTAGTAAAATATCAAAAGTAGTCTTCTAGCTTTTTAACAGTTTAATAGTAAACTTGCAATCTTTGGCATTTTGATAAACAATTTCCTGTTCTTTTAATTTTTGATATTTATAGATAAATTTTTTTGTAGTTTTTCTTTGTTTTTTGATATTTTATAGAAACTTATAGTAAATTTTCTTAAGAACTTCTGGTTTTTTAGTAAATTTATAGTGAATTCTTTTGTGACTTCTCTTTAGTCTTTAACAAATTTGTAGTAATAGATTTTCTTGTAGCTTTTCTCTAGTCTTTAGCAAATTTGTAGTAAATTTTTTTGTAGACTTTTTTCTGATCTTTGGCAAGTTTGTAGTAAATTTTCTTATAACTATTCTTTAATCTTTGATGAATTTATAGTAATAAACTTTTATGATCTTTTAGTATTTTATTAGAGAATTTTCTTGTAGTTTTTAGATTCAAAAGAAAAGCTACAAGAAGATTCTCTAGTAAAATATTAAAAGTAGTTTTCTAGCTTTTTAATATTTTATTAATAAACTTGTAGTCTTTGGCATTTTAGTAAACAATTTCTTGTTTTTTTGACTTTTGGCATTTACAAATAAATTTTTTTATAGTTTTTCTCTGGTTTTTTAGCATTTTATAGTGAACTTATAGTGAATTTTCTTGAGAACTTCTGGTTTTTTAGTGAATTTATAGTAAATTCTCTTATAACTTTCTTTTGGTTTTTGACAAATTTGTAGTAGTAGATTTTCTTGTAGCTTTTTTTTAGCCTTTGACAAATTTTTTTATAAACTTTTTTCTGGTTTTTTGGCAAAATTTTTTTGTAACTATTCTCTAATCTTTGTCAAATTTATAGTGATAAACTTTTATGATCTTTTGGTAAATTTTCTTGTAGTCTTTGAATTCAAAAAAAAAACTACAAAATGATTCTTCAGTGAAATATCGAAAGTAGTTTTCTAGCTTTTCAATATTTTACTAGTAAACTTGTAATCTTCAGTATTTTGATAAACAATTGCTTGTTCTTTTGACTTTTGGTATTTATAGATAAATTTTTTTGTAGTTTTTCTCTGGTTTTTCAGCATTTTATAATAAAACTTATAGTGAATTTTCTTAAGAACTTCTGGTTTTTTAGCGAATTTATAGTAAATTTTTTTGTAACTTTCTTCTAGTCTTTAACAAATTTGTAAAGGTTATATATATCACCCAAACTATAAATTATTAAAATCTCATCCAAACCCAAATCCCAAGTAGAAAAATCCCAAATCCCAAATTGGAATAATTTCATTTGGGCTATCATAATCCCAAACTACTGGTAAAATCCCAAACTTTAACCAAATCCCAAATATTATTCCAAATTCCAAAACCTATTCCAAATCCTAAACTCTGTTTCAAATCCCAAATCTTATTCCAAATCTTATTCCAAATCCCAAATTCCATTTCAAATTCCAAATTTATTCCTATTTCAAAGCCAATATCCTAAATCTTCTATTTTGAAACCTGAAATCTGAAATTTCAAATTTTAAATTTAATACAAACTCTTAAATTAGAATCAAATTTAGGTAATAGTAAATCAATATACATAGTTATATTCTTATTCAAGAAACTTTGATGAGAATAGCAAATAATACTCATAGGAGAACATTTCACTAACAAAAAATTATTACAAAAGAATGTCTATCTATATTCACTATACAAAAATAATCAGTAATAATCAGCATTCTCACGAACTTTACTTAGAAGGCAAAATATGCTTACCGTTTATTGGACCATATCAAATTATACTGTAGAGTGAAGGTAACTAGAAATGTTTTTGTCTAAAACTATTTTATTATGTTAAATTTAAATAAACTTTTATTTTTAACTGTTTTATTTGGATAGATACAAGCTCTTTAATAAAAAGATCCAGGCTTAATATTTAAATTTGGTTAGTTCTTATAGTTGTTTGAGCTTGTTAACCATGAATTAATAGTTAAAGTTTTAATAGTTTTAATTTATATTTTATATGATAGATTCTTTAATAGTTTGGGTTTATTAGTAATAAATATCTTATTTACCTACTTTATATGTATCTATTTATTCTTTACATATTAATAATGAATTCTTTCACATGTATTTATTAGTTTGTAAGCTTTTTTATACAAAGTTTCTTTTATTTTTTAATATCTTAGATTAATTAAAAATTATGTATTTAACCAATCATATAAATATCTCTCTATAAAGAGTAATACCTGAATCTTAATCATAAGTATATTATTTTTAGAAATATTGTAAGCAGTGGTCAATAGTAACCAAATCCATTTCTATTGATCTCTAAATTATTAGTCTACTGATTCAAATGTTTGCTACAATATCAATATTGAATGATTTCTCAGATAATTATTTAATTTCAAACTCTAAATCAAAACTATTTATATAACTATGAAAAAAAAAATAATTACTGATCATGATAGCGATTATTTTACTTAACCCAATCTAAAATTTAAAATAAAATGATCAATACTTTGAATTTATAATACACCAAAACAAGAATAAATATGATATTGAAATTATATTTTGTATAATTTAATTGTAAGAATTTAATTTATTTTAATAGTAGTAATTATATTGCAAATAAGGAGATAAGTTATGTATTTGTTGCACTGATAAAAAATTCTCTATTTTCGGATACAACTTTAAGTATAAGAGGTGTCTAGCAGTGTATTTATACAACTCAGATTAAATACTGTGATTAAGAATATTTTAGGTTTTTTCTTATTATAAGGTCCCTGATGTTTTTAACGAATTGAATTCTGTAAACTCTATGAATCTCACATATTACTAATTGTCATACTAGTTGATACATTGATAAAATATAAAAGCAAATAAATTGACAAGGCAAAATATATAATTTTATTAAAAAGACTACATTCATAAACATAAAATTTAAGAACATAATAATTGAGTAATAATTTATATAAAATCCACTTAAGTGGAATCAGATTTAATTTTTATTTTAATATATAAAAATATCTTTTTATACTTCTGCAATGCTAATATTAAGCTAGTATATGACAATAATACTAGAAATTAAAATTCACTAGAGAAAAAAAAAAATTAAGAATAATATCAAAATAAAGATTAGAATTCAAATCATCTAAGTCATTAGATGAAGCATAATCCAAGCTTCGATTTTAAGAAACAGAACAAATCTAAGGATACTATTTCTAGTCCGGAGAAAGTTGTTCTACCTTTTTATAAAATCTGACATAGCGGCAAATTCTTGATTCAATTAACATTAATCTAAATTCAACATTTTTATCATGACAATTACGTTTCAAATGCTTTTGAACAACAGCAGCTTTCTTAATCAAATAATGAAGGTTTTTGAGAATCTTGGGTACTAGATCTTAAAAGAAAGTAGTCTATATTATTTAATACAATCATTCAATATCTTTTTTTTTTTTTCTTTAAATAAAGTGATTACTTACTATAATACTTTAAGATTCGAAGAATTTTATTTACAGTAATATTTTTAATTGGCTTAATATCATACAAGTTCCAAAGGTATATGATAATTTGTAAGGGCGTTAGACTTTTTTTTGCAAGTTCTAGTATTTGTTTACAGATATTTTGAGGCATAATTCTCATCCACAGTTGGTGTGGAGAAACGACAGTAATGATACTTTTACTAAAAATGTATGTAAAACCTATTTTATCTCTCTATTGTTTTCCTCTAAAAAAAAAAAAAGTTATCTGAGCATTAATCAACATACAGTACATATAGTCATACTTACAATTTATAGATCACATTATGTAGCACAATTCATAAAACTCTTACTAATTCTATAAGACCATAGCTACAAATAAACTCATTAGAAATCTTAATTAAATATATTTCTTACATATTTGATCTATACGTAATTTTTAAAAGTTGTGGTAGTAAAATATTTGACTCCCAAGAAAATGGTACTATCTTGATTAAGCTTGACTCTAATAATATTTAATGCAAAATAAATAAATAAATAATAAAGAACAAAACAAAACAGAATAAAATAAAATAAATATATAGATTTGTGTATATGGACAGCTTTAATAATAAAATCAGTTAAATATCTTAATATGCAGTAACTGAATAGCAATGACATAGTGATTACATAATTACTATTAAATTTAATCATAACTACATAGCTATTATTCAGTTACTGTGTATTAAGAGATTCAAAATTTCCATATAATATATTAGCTAGCTAAACTGATAACTTGTGAATTTTTTTTTTAAAAAAAAAGACCAATTTCTTGAATTATATATAAATTGTATTTTATTAATAATAAACTATCAATAAAGTAAATCATTTATATCAAAATCTTTATTCTCATATACAATTTCTTTATTTACACCTAAAGACTCATCAATCTCTAACTTTGACTATAAATTTATGAAACTTAAATTTGTAAAGTTTTCTTGATCTAAATTATCTGATTCATCAAGACTTTCTATGTCTTCTTCTAACAGTTCTTCCAACAGTCCTTCTATAAGTTCTTTCGAAAAAAAAATCAACTTTTTCTCACCAAATAAATCTGTACTGTCTTTAATAGAACTTGCGATTTTGTTGAAAATTGATAAGAAATCCTCTTGAGGAAAATTTAGATCAACATAATTAAGCTCTGACTTAGTGTTCTTAATCAAATATGAATGCATCTGAGCTATAATCTCTAGGTGCCCAATGCTTAGCCTAAAAATAATATTTGTATTTGTTCATTTGAAAAGTGAAAATGAAATTAAAGAATAATTAAAAAAATTAATTTTTTATATCAAATCAATTACACAAGAATTGGCTAATCAAAATCGATTTTTATATCAAATCAATTACTAAGAATTGGCCAATCAAAATCAATTATGTAAGCATTAAATTCACTCTACAAAGGTAATGCTTATGATTACTTTTTAGAGTAAGAAAATAGCCTGAATTTTTTATCTAACAAGAATTTCAGATTTTTTTTGTGATAACAACTAAAAAATTATGAATAACTTAAACTCTACTCCATTTACAATGTAAAAAGAAAAATAACTCACTTAGTTTGCCTTTTTCTAAAATACCACCCTAGTATGCTAAAGACATGCTTACAGATAGCATTATGAGGGGAAATAGAATATATTTTTTCAGCAAGATTTTTAATATGGTCTTTATTTCTTTTAAGATCTCTAGACATCCACTAATTAGTAATTGTATTAGCAGATACAATAAATTTATTTTTAAAAGGATACTTTTGGTTCTTATATAAATTCATTTGAGTTTTGAGAAGATCTGTACTAATTCGACTACCTCCAAATTGTTGCTTCCATATTTCTAAAGCCTTTTTAAGAACATGGTTTGTATATATACCAGGTTCAAGAAAATCATCTATAATAATAATAAAAAAAAAAAAAGATAAAAAAAAATAAAAATAAGATAATATAAAAAATATATTACTCTAAATTATGCTAGACAGATAGATAACTTTTAAGTACCACGATAAGTTTGATACAAAAAAAAAGATAAAAGATACAGATCTATATTAAATTTTTTCTACTATTTATTATAAATGGCAATACAATCATACTGAAACTGGTTATTATATAAAATAGAAGTTTTTTGAATTGCAATTGCTATTTTTACTAGTTCAATGAAAATATTAGCCAATAAGGTAGTTCAAAACTCTAAATTTTTTACAGTCTGGTTTACTAGATCAAGAATATTTCTTAATTGCTTTACGTCAATCCAGAATTGATAATTAGTTATTGGATTTTTTATGGCACTTGCATGACCAAAAATTTAAAAGTCTTATTCTAAAATCTATTGCAATTAAGTTATTTTAATTTAAAGTATGATTTGTAAAGTATGAAATGCAAAATTGACTGTATATATATATTAAAATTTTAATACTGATCAAATATTTGCTTCATTATATAAAATTGACACACAACAATTCCATACTATTGTCTACTGGGTTTTAGTACTAGACTTTAAATTTCTACTAACTATAAAGAAATATATAATTTCTTCTCTAAGGGCAGCACTAGCAATATAGGAATTTCTAAAAAAACTTACAATTTTTTGACAGTTAGAAAGGACATTTCATGCATGAGGTAAACAACAGATACTACTAGATATTAATTATATGTAGTGTGCAATGCATCTAATAGATAAGATATGTGGATATTTTGCTATAACTTGTTATTTTGCTGCTGTCATTGCTGATTTTGTATTAGAAACTATTGCAACAAATTTATCAGGTCTGACACTTTCTAATACTTCTATTATTTTTTTCACATTAAATTTAGCTGTATGAGAGAACATTGAAAAATCACATATAGAATAGATATATTGTTTTTTTTCATCTGTCATTATAACAAAGACATATATACTATACTTTATTGGACTGCACCAACCGTCTATGACAATATAAAGTTTCTGGATTTTGATAGTTTCTTTTCTATCTTTAATGTTATGTTTGCTGCTTCTATATCTAATATTGATGTTGCCAATATAGTTCGCTTAGGTGAATTATATCCTAGGTTTAACATCTTAATATAATCTTCAAAATAAAGATTATCATAGGTAGAAAATGAAATCCCAAAGCACACAATCCACTTAATTAATGATTTATTGGCTATTTTTTCTTTATTTTTATTAATGACTTCTTTTATATTATAGTAATTTTTAAGAGATAATGTAGAATTGCCTGATTTTTTTTTTTTTAAGGTGGATGCTCTAGATAGCACAGGCCCATTTTCACTTTAAAGATTCTGAAGTACCCTAAGTTGAATTTCTCTTGGTAACTTCCCTTTACATCTTATTCCAAGGTAAGCCTTCATATCCTGAGCTCTTTCTCGAGCCCATAATGTAGTACAATATCTACACTGTGCTCCTTTATGCTTTCCTTTTCTATTGTTTATAGCATCATATTCTTTTCAAATATCTTCTTGGGGTTGTTCTTCGCTATATGATAATTGTGTTGTTTTTGTTTGTATGAAATCTGTTTTGGAAATAAGAACAGAATTATTTGAAGCTCCATTAGTACTAATATCATTATTGTTTGTAAAATATTCCATTATTGTAAAAATTTGATATACTGTATGTGCTAGATAAAATGCTAATCTATAAAATTTACTCAAAAAAAAAAAAATCATTGCAAAAGATAATATTCATTAGTGTGCCAAGTTATTGAGAACACTAAGATTAAAAAACACTTAAAAATTCTATGCTATAAAAAAAGAAAAGAAAAAGATATAAAGCAAACAATATTTTATTTCAAAGAGTACAAGATTTTAAAATTTTATTTTTCAACAAGAAAAACATCAAAGTTTAAATATGTTTTCAAACAATTGAATTATGAATCTGGCCATATGGTAATATTTCTAAAACCTAACTATTTCACTAGTTTGAATAACAATAAAGAACAATGACAATTCAATATTTTATTTGCTAATATAATCACGACAAATGTGTGTATTATTGATGCTAAACCACATAACCAAATTTGAACAGAGTTGTTTTTTTATTTTAATTTTGTATGTCTATAGAATAAAATAAAATTTATCAAATTTAGCTTAATTGTTTCATAATCTCATTAGTGCTAATGATTTATCAATGTAATCTAAAGTATTTTATCATAGACAAAAGCTATTTTGAGCAATTAATATGATTGAAAATATGAATTTTGATTCAGCCAATTCAGAGTACTCTACAAAAAAAACAAGTTTTCAGATTTAACTTGAATAATTCTCACAGTTTATTCTTTTATCATAAAGAAGGTCAATTGAAATTGATAAATCATATAATTTTTGAAGGATCCAAAAAGATTAAAAAAGAATAGCACAATACTTACATAAACAATAACCTCAATGCCAAGGATCTGGTGCAAGAAAACAATGTTATCCCTTAAACTGTAGACAATTTCAGGCAAATTTGCTTAGAAAATTGCTATAAATTTGTTTATGATTTACTTTTTTTAAAATTTAAAATATTTAAATAAAATTTTTTTTTGATAATATTTGAAAATAAGGATTATATTATAGTAGTATTTAATTTTATATTATAAGAATAAAAGT